AATGGAGCCAGAGACATTTAAGCACTATGATGCAACAGATTATGTTTGGATAAAGAAAAAATTAAGAAGATGCGATGTTTTGGAAGGATGTAATCAGCTAATACTTTCAACAAGATATTCTAACCAAATGACTACTATGTTTATAAAATTTAGAAGTGATGTTATACTTGTTTAAAGAACAAGTCTGATTGAATATTTACTTTTTTCTTGGTAAGATTTACGAGCTTTATTTATCCCTGTTCTGTGTTATATGTATCGTAATCTTACAGTGTATAGCAAAACTGGTTAAACAGAAAAGTATCTATAAACTAATGGCTAAACTAAGCGATGGCTAAGATAAAAAATAGATGAGATAAGGTAAATAATAAATGAAATAAATAACAATGAAATTCTTCATAATAATATTAAAATCTAAAGATCATTAATGTTAACAAAGATAAATCATAAATGTCGTCATTTATAAGGTCAAATACCAGAAATCAGTTCTTTTTTTTTTTTTTTGAGATAGGGTCTCACTTGTTGCCAGGCTAGATGAGTCGTGGCGCAGCCTAGCTTCACAGCAACCTTAAACTCCTGGGCTCAAGCAATCCAACTGCCTCAGCTCCCGAGTAGCTGGGACTACAGGCATCACCACATGCCGACTATTCTTCTACATATATTAAGTTGGCAATTAATTTCCTTTCTATTTATAGTAGAGACGGGGTTCGCTCTTGCTCAGCTGGTTTCGAACCGCCTGACTGGGAGCAGTCCGCCTGCTTCAGCCTCCCAGATGCTGGATTACAGGCGTGAGCACCGGCGGAACATCAGTTCTTAAAATAGTTTAAGCTTACACTTGATATCTTGACTTATAGTTAGGAATACTATAAATTGGTGACTAAAAGTTCAAGTTACTTTAGCTTCCTAGGTTTTTCTAAGCGTTGACATTATGATTAGTACATGTATTAAAACTTCTAGAGGAAAGAGAAACAACTCTATACAAAAAATTCTTTTAATGAAAATGTTATACAACATAAGTATTAGTTTTGTTAAGATATTTGTGAATTTATTTGTATTTAAAGTACTTATTCAACATGTAATGATCATTAAAAATTAAATGATATAAATATAAGTTAGAGAAGGTTTATAAAAGTCTTACTTATAGTCAAATTGGTTAATCGATGGATTTGGTTATAAGTTTTTTAAAATTACTTTTCATTAATACACTACTGCAATAAATTTGTTTTTCTCTTTTGAACTAATTGTCATATGATATTAACAGGATAACAAGATTTTATTCACCTTTTAATAGACTGCAAAAGGAAGGAAGGAAGAAAGACACAGATTCAGTTCCTTATTAACTTGCACTGCATTAGGTCTTATTCTTGTTTGAGAAACTGAGCCTCCTTTCTCAAAAAGATAGGATTTTTACATTAAAATATATTATATATTGATTATTAATTTGGCTAAATTTATAGTACCTGCATCTTGTTTCATGACAAGTGTCTTACAATGAACAATTCATGACTTCTACTTTTTAAGCTTCTCATAAAATTTAAAGTTACCAAAAGAAGAATCTAGTCAATGTGTATAATTATATATAAGGTGTACCAAGAATAATTTTTAATAAGAAAATTATAAACAGCATGTGTTCTTATTAAAGTATACATAACTTTGTCTAATTCAGAGGTTATTTAAAGGTTGAATCAAATTTAGAAAGACAATAAAAACAAAATTCCACTTGTGAGTAAGCAAAAGATGTAAAAAGGCAATGAATATAGAAATATGTTTTTGGTAAGAAAGGTTAAACTGAAAGAATAATGTAAAGAAAGGATCTTGCATGGAATTTTTGTCCTAAAATGACTGGTTATTTAGGAAAAGGGAATGTTAGGACAAAACCAAAAGTTTTAAGGTATGTTTTGCAGATAGTATATGGTACGTGCAGGTTGGGATAAAGTTTATAAAAGGGAATTTATTAAGAAATTTTGGCTAAAACAAAGATTTCTGTTAATATTAAGTTACTCTTAATAAAATGACATATAATGCACTCATTTTGATTCCATAACATGTTCATTTCCTTTTTAATGCAAAAAATAATGCACTACAAAATTTTTTTTTTAAAATTTTGGTAATTGACCTAAAAAAATACAGATTTTATGCTTTATCAGATCATCCCTGTGAGCCTTATTAGGTTTTGACTAACTAGAAAAAACTAAACGTTTCAAAGGATTAAGATTTATACCCATATAACTTTATCACCTTTAAATCTTTTGATGACTATCTTCTCTTGGTTGAATAAAATTATTTTATAGTGTTTGTGATTGTATATGAACAAATGTTTTAAGCCTTTGATATTTGACAATAAGTTTTCAAAACTTAAATTCTAAATCTAGCTTTTGACCTTAAACTAGCTTTTATACATTAGGATCACTAAAAGTCTAAGACAGACATTAGATTTATTTGGTGTGTCAAAACCATCCAGGAACATTGTCAAATATGAAATGGTGTTTAACTTTCTTTGGGCTGTACTTGTATTTTTTAGTATATATTTTAGTGTTGTCAAATATTGACATGTCTTGGTGTGTGCTGTCAGTAATAATTATGGTTATTTTTGTAAATTGCTATTTGTCACAAAATAACCAATTTGGTTTGTCAATTGTCTCTAACCATGGCTGGTCGAGTTTTATCATCTTTTAGAAATTATTATTTTACTTTGATTCACCTCAGAAAGTGGTTCTTTCTGGCTAAGTCCAAAGTTGACTTCTTCAAGTAAAAGTCATGGAAAGGACTGACAAATCCATTTGAATACTGGTTTCTGATAACTCTGGAGATTATATACCACTGGACTAAAACAAAACAAACTTCCAGGACTTTAACTTTAAGTAAAACTATGACCATGAGTATATGACCATGAGTATAGCTAACACAACCTCATGAGACGGCACTAAATTTTCATAAAAAGACGCTTTATTTAAAACATTACTAATTCTTTTGTTTTTCAGAGTCCTGACAAATTTTAAGTAAATAGCAAGTTTACCTGATCTCTGGACCTGAGAACATGGAATCTGCCAAACCCCTGTTCAAATATCCTCCCTCTATGCCCAGGGTATATCTCGGAAGAGGGAGCGTG